CCCGTAGGTTTAGCATTTTGGGGCTGTAAGTATGTAAGGTAGATCAGAGTTATGTGCATGTGTTTTGATAATGATGAACTGAAGCAGAGGATCAGGGACCAAATTACAGAAAATAATAGCGCGTATTACTGTTGCTGAGAGACTTCAATCATAATGCATCACTAATTTTGTCTCACCTGAGGACCTTGGAAGATGATACTGGATTTTCAAAAATGTGGAGGCACCATTATCCTTTTTATGGCACAGAACTCGAAGGAGGGTATGGATATCATGTACATTTCTTCTCCGAGCAGCTGCGGGTTCAAGATGGTGTGACATATGTTCACTTGCTTTCATCAGCAAATCAATGATAATATCAGCCTGAAAAACAGCAGTCGGTGGCTTTCCTTAAGTTAGTTACTGCATAGCATTTTTCTTGGATAAAAGATTGAAGGAAAAAGAAGCACTAGACCTTTAGCACATAGAGGTCTAAAATCTGCTGAGCTAATTTAGCCTCCTTTTCAATAACATCTGATGGTAAACCTTGGCCTTCTGCTATAAAAAGATCCTGCAAGAAAATATTCAACAGTTATGAAAAATAAATCTTACAATCATATATCCAGTTTCATAAAGGTGTCAACTTGTTAAAATGATATGCTCAATGTCTTGCAAGCCTCTTGCTTCTTTTCTAACTCACAATATGTACAACATACATGTGCTTAAGTCTTATTTTTTCACCTTGAGAATAGCCAGATCATCTTTCATCAAATTCACATCTGTCTCCAAAAATGCGCGGGATGGACCTCCATCAAGTAGGACCCAAATGAATCCTTCCTAATTAAAGTTAACATTTGAAATTTAACCATCTTGTACATCAAATAAATAAGATATTTTTGAAAAAACTGCACCTATGAGAGCATTAGACATATACCATGCATGCTTGAAAAACTCTCAGCACAACTCGGTCTCTCAACACGTCAACGATTAGATCACATACCTGATCAAGAACCTGCAGCATATGTCATTCATCAGTTAATAAGGCTAAAAGCAAGACATGCTTACTGACTGAACATGTAGGTAACTAGGTATCCCAAGTTCGGATTCACTGCCTGCTCAATTGTAGGGATAAAAATCTCCATGCGTGCACTTTCAACGCTAGTACGGTACAAGGAGAAAAGAAGCGAGTCCCTCATATCCCAGAAAACAGCCCTTGTTCCTGCAAAACATTTCTCTGGCAACTAAAGTGAACTGTATCGGGATAATGATTCTTCCAAGGAATATCAGGCTAACGTAACAACAGAAGAGTGCAAAACTATTATTCCTTATACATTTAAAATGAAATTTCGTTTGTGTATTGCTCGGGAACGAACACAGGAAGTTCCACAATTGCAGCAATAGTACATCGCCATGATCTATGGTGTACCTTACCCAAAGCACATATTGGTCTAACTGAAGTGCTATACAATGAGCTAGTTGTATTATAATGGCTCAGTGGGGGTATATGCACATTACGAGGAAACATAAAGTGAATGCCCTACCGGAGAGAGAGAGAGAGAGAGAGAGAGAAAGAGAGAGAGAGAGAGAGAGAGAGAGAGAGAGAGAGAGAAAGAGAGAACCTACTCCAATATAAAGCAGCTCAAGAAAGAACAGCTCAGCCAATTGCTAGAAGTTATGACAGTATACACTAGATACGCCATATGGATTTTATATTCCTGTTCATATATTTCCCAACTGCATATTTATGCAGCCAAAGGAGCACTAGATTAGCAATTTGATGGCAACTCTAGCAATATACTATCATGGGCACATGGCATCAGATGTCCAGTCCGTTCAGCCCGTCAAGTGTTGAGTCCCATGGAGTTGGTGCACCTAGGGTAGCCATAGCACAATACAAGGGTCGGCTGAATAGGCTTAAGAATAATTCAGTCATCTTGGGGGCAAGTTGATATTGAAGTTAGATGGAAAGTTATCTTATCTTTAGAAGGAAATTTTGGTTTAGACATACATTCTTTCTCTAGAGGATGAGTTCAGTTGGTATTTTAGGGCTGAAACGGTTCTGGTACACGCGGCTCTGATTCTATCAGTTAGGACTTCTTCAAGTTCAGCGCTCTCACACATTAGTTCCACGAGTCCACGGTCTAATCTCATCTTTCTTTTAAAATCCCTCCCATTCAGCCATGCTGATTAGCTCAATACGGTAATTACCCAGATGTACTAGTTGAACATTACAACACTTCCCTAGATTTTAAGAGTTAAAGATAAACAAATAGCAAAATGTTTCTAACAGGTTGCCTGTTCCATGATGTCATGACTACGAACTATCGACTAGAATATATTCTTAAATATGCTTGCATAAAGTTTATTTCAACTAATAGGAGTGAATTGTGGAGAGCACAGACTAAGTAGCTCACCAATGAAGTTCAAGATCGTGTCAGTTATATTCACCGCAGTCCTTCGCACATCATCAAATATTGTAAATAACTCATCAATCGATTCATCAGAAGGCGAACTTTTTGAAGTAGCTCCTTCACTGGCCATATAAGACAAATAGTCTAACAATCCCACAGCTGCAAGAAAAGAGGAACAAACATTAGTCATGTATAATTTTCCTTCCATATACTGTAACTCATCAATCGAATCATCACACGATGACAATTTTTCAGAGAACTCCTTCACTAGGCATATAAGACGAGAAGAGTCTACCAACTCCACGACTTCAATATAAGTACAGGAACAAATACTACTTATGCATAAGGTATCGTCTATAACACTAAGCTTGGCAAACTTCACATACGGACAACTTATAACTCTTGCTTCATTTGTTTTGCTCTGTTCTGTTGGTTTTTATATAAAAAAATCCGTTTGTTTTGCTGTTATGCCTAGAGTCTATGTTTCTGTTTTTGTCTTGCTGTACTTTTGTTATATTGCTGTTATGCCTAGGAGTCTATGTTTCTGCTTTTTTCTTGCTATACTTTTGTTATATTGACGCCTTCAATCTAATGAAAAAGACAAGCAGTCAGTTGTATGTCAGGAAAAAAATCATAACCCTTGCTTACGGTATCAACAGTCTAAGAAGCCCATGGCATAAAGGCTCGAATTTCTCACCACCAATGCTCCTAGACATACATATGAAATTCCTCTAGAGCAGCTCGTTAAACAGTATTTGAGCTTGTAACCCTTTTTAAGGTCAATCTAACAGCCCCCCAACCCTGCATTGTTCATAAGTCTCCATTGACCCATATGATTGCATAAACAAATGCCGCCCCAGTTAGGGAAGAAAAAGGCATAAAAATAATTGGTTACCATGACTTCAAGGATACCTTGATAACAACCATGTGATATGAAAATTACAGAAGGACAAACTTGTTTGGTATTGCTGTGGAAGTGTGGATTTTGGAACACACTTACTTCCAATAGATTTGATCATACTAGTTAGTTAATAGCATTGTTTTTTGGAGTTAAAACAATAAAATCTTGCTAGAACTAATAAGACTAGTAAGTCGAAAGCATGTTTTTGGATCTACAACAACAAAACCTCTCACTAACTAGACACAATGCAGCACTGTAACAACAAAAATGGGCCACAGAGGGTGGATTACCTGACTGGACATCGACCCAGGATTGTTTGATGCCCTCTTCTATGGTATCAAGTTGATCTCTAATGTACTGCAGCATTCAGCAAATAACTGGATCATAAGAAAATTGATACTAAAAATAGTGCATGTGGTGACAAGAATAATGGAAGCGATTCTGTTTATCTAGACCATATAGAAGATTAAAAATGCCGGCAAAGTTATAGAACTTTTATGAAATCATTCCATGACAAGATTAGGGATGGCAGAAAGGGATGGTTTGAGCGGGTAACGCTATCCAAAACCCGCCAATGCAAGCCTGGTACTCGTCTGGCCCTCCTTTCATAGACAACAGGTATGGTACCAAGATGGTAACTGGAGGTGTGACGTGCTGAAAAGGGTACAGCTGGATGTTCGTGGGCAATGGGCTGCTAAGAGCTATTTGCAAGTGCGGAGCTCATATGAAGCAACTGGGTCGATATGCTTTTACCTAACACAAAGCAGGCTTACACAATTGTGTGAGAGGTGTGGAGTAGTGAAGCCATTTATTACATATTTTGATATTCGAGTAACCATGCCCTCTCAGTCCCAGTGACATTCATGGGTATCTTCCATGTAGGAGACAAGCCCCCTGTGCCCACGCTCCACGGGTGCACCCGGATCCGTGGGCAAGACTGCCATTCTTGGTGCAGTGCCGACCTGCGTGTCGAAACTGACTGAGGATTTTTGTAAATATGATGTTTTTCCATAACTGAATAACCCATTTTCAAAACAAAACAAAAACCTTTGATTCTACGACCATGGCAGCATTTGATCAAAATGAACACAATTGGGCATCTACAAAACACAGGTCACAGATGCATTGCTGCAAGGGTTTAATGAAAAATCCAGTCATGCGGTTTGGGAAGAGGTGGGGTAACCAAAATGTCTTGCCTGAAGGGTGTTGAGTTTCACACATAATTGTGGGATTGTCAAATTGTTCAATTTATTAGCCACCTTCTCTTCACGAACTGCAGGCTCAATAGGTTTCCTTCTGGCAAATGGATTAACTGATTCCGCATAACGTGTCAAGACTGGCGCAACAGGTAGCAGGGTAGCTCTAGAAACTGCAATCGAGAAATAACAGATGAAGAAAAAACAGTTATTGATACAACAAAGCAAAAGTAATTAATACCGTTTTTAGAAGATACAAAAAAAGCACTCCCTCCGTAAAGAAATATAAGAGCGTTTAGATCGCTACTTTAGTGTTCTAAACGCTCTTATATTTCTTTACGGAGGGAGTAGATGCTATATACTTGTGAAACTGCTACATGCTATTGTGCTTCATAAGTATTAAGGCATTGCTTAAAAGCAAAGAAGATGATGGCTGTAGCGGTATCCCACAGCCTCTAGGATGTAGTAGGCAAATGTATCAGTCTTTTGATCAGTTGATTCGGTTCATGTATATTTTCAGTTTTTGTTATATGCGCAAAGTTAGGGACTACGATGACACAGGCATTTAAACAACTCACGCAATTAAAAAAAAGCTTCTGTAGCAATGCATCAGCATTTAACTTCTGTAGCAACGCACAAGCATTTAGCTGGTATGTCTAATAATCCAAGTACTAATTCAAATATGTACTGAAAACAGTACCAGATGTGGCAAACTCATAATCTTTTCAAAGATACATGGTGTTTCACATTAAATTATAATAGTCCTTAAATTGCAAGAATACCAACACAGAGATCTCATGATACCCATTGACAGATCTGTTAATAGTAAACCTAGTCACAAGGCTGTGCAAGTAACACCAGCATCAGTGTGGTGCCTAAGAGTATGATGCCGACTCAGTGTAGTCTTCGTTCCAAGATCATTTGAGGTCAACAGTTCACTTATAAAGTGGGCAGTTCCGTTGACACACCTGACGTGATGAGATTAGGACTCATGTTGGTTACTTACTGTCATACCTACTACCTCTGTTCGGAATTACTTGTCTCGGATATGGATGTATCTAGAACTAAAATACGTCTAGATACATCCATTTCTGCGACAAGTAATTCCGAACGGAGGGAGTACAAATGTACTGTACAAATGAGACCTCGTGGGTTCAAGATAGGGCATTGCCATTTACGCAGGATTAAGGCATACCTTGTTGATTTTCCATGTGAAGCAAATAGACTTGAAGGCTGCTAGTGATCCCTATAAGCAGACTTCGCAGGTGGACAATATCCAGAGGTAGACTTGAGTTAAAAAACTGATCAATAGTCTGCACATAGAATGATCAGATAAGCCCCAAGCAAATATAAGAGTATTAACTGAATAAAAAATGAGAAAAATGTGAGTTTGTAATAGAACAGCCGTCAGAATTTTTTTGAAGAACTTCAACATTCAGGCAGTGACTGCAAATATTGAAGATTCTGCCTCCATACTGAACTTCCAAATATTCAGCTTGCATCAAGATCAGATAGCATTTTTTTAAGGGAAGCCCCGGCAATATAAATAGGAGGCTAAATTTGTGTCCATGATGATGAACCCAAGTGGTGGGATTGTACACCTACTCGTCCAATCAAATGAGCTAGGCTCATTTCCTAGTAATCACCATGTTTACTAATAAGTTTGCACCAAGTCATCCAAAAGCAAGAGATTTTTTTTGTTCTCTTCATTTTCTTCAGGAACATAAAATATGGTGGTAACTGAGCTCATTAGAAGAAAAGCTGACCTCCTCCACAATCCGGAAGACTTCAACCATAGATGTTGCTAGTTTCCTGTGAACTGACAGAGGCTCCCAATCCTATGGACCAGAGATGAAACAACAGCCCGCATGAACAATTTGTCTTGGGACACTTAAAAGAAGACAAAAAAATACATACGAAAGACAAACAAAAGAAATTTATGATGCATAACAAAAGTCTGAAGTAAGAGTTGGCTATTAAAGAGGAATCTTAAATAGAAAAAATTGAAGTACCCAACTAAAGAATGTCATATGGGCTACCGTTATCTTGTTGCGACGGCAGTATTAGTTACAGAGTTGTGTCAATAACAACAACCATATGCGTCTGATTATATTACATATGTAGCACCAGTACAGTTCTGTTGAAACTTACCATGCCAGTTTAAGTAAAATCAACACTGAGCTATCCCGCTGCACTAAGGTTGTTCAAATCTGACATTGTAGTTAATATATTATTATCTTGTCACAATAAATGAAGCTCAAATTTTCTTCTTTCTTGGCAAGATTCAACCTGACTGCAAGACTGTAACTACCAATTTAACATCATAAAATGCATTGAGCTAGCAGTCAAGTTACTGTATGAACCATGTGGCACTAAAAATGAATGTGATCAAATTTGCACCAAATAATACCCGCATGCACAATTTTACAATCACGCCACTTTATACCAAAATCTACAGAGGGATTTTCCTATTTTCCATGTGAGCATCAATGCAAAGTAAATACAGAATCATTTTCAGGATGTTCTAGCAAAATTAACTATGCACTAAAAAATCTTAGCAGTGAATTTTGCATAGGGTAACAAACCTCAATCTCAATGGTACGCTTTGTCCACTCCAAAACATTCTCATGTTGAGCATGAAGCCACTGAAGAATGATGGATGAAGAAAAACGATCTATCTGTTTAAAATTTAAAAGGTGTCATTTAGTCCAACATAATGTAACTGTGGAAATGCCACTTGGCATACCAATACAGTTTGATCTAAACTAAAAATGAGAAGTTGCTTGCAAGGTATTTTGAAAGTTAAGTGCATGAAATTTGTTAAGTCCAACATAATGTACTTTAATGTTTGCCTTATAAGTAAATGGAAACTGATTGCTGTTGTGAGAAGTTGCTTGCAAGGTATTTCGAAAGTTAAGTGCATGAAATTTGTTCCATGTGACTCCCAACTCGGTTGTTTATAATTTTATTTTATTTTGCAAAGTGTATAAATAGTTGTCCTGGCATTGTAATAAGATTAGGTTTTGACGTTATGAATAAACTACTAGGGAAGACATTGCGTCAAGATGATTGTGTCAAGAAACAGCAAGGTATCTACGAAATCAGGATAGCTTAGCAGTTTGACAGGCACAATAAAAAAGGTTCTTAGTAGCATATCAAACCACTGACTTCCATAGTTCTACATTACTTTGGTACCATCAGCTATGAAATTAGCAGAACGGATTATACAAGATATTTCATGTTTATAAAAATCGCATCATAGGGGTAGAGGGAGAAGATTATTTTACACTCATTATGTTAACAAAAGCCCAAATGTATAAAGCGTTCCCAAGTATTTTCAGGATAAAGCATACTTTCAAATATTCATGTATAACGAGCACAAAGCACATCCTCATGCCTTACCATGTATGGTTTTAGGAAGTTAGACAATGAAGACCCAGCAGCTTCCCCGTACATTGAGTAAAGCTTCTGAGCTATACAGAGCTCAAAGCTACTCGATGCTCCCAGTATCTCTTTCAAGTTTTCTGAATGATCCGTCCCTTCCAGGAACAGCTCCTTCATACCAATGGTAGTAGCAAACATCAATACATCATTACAAGTTGACACAACAAAAATATTGCAGCTGAGCCGGACAAGGGAGTTTACTAACCAGTTGTTGGCCATAAAGTAGGTGAAAGACAGTTAGTGCTACTCTTCCAGCTTCAGGATAATATTTGTGAAGTACTGGGCTGAATGCAGAGCACTCTTTCTCCACTAATAGCTTTAGCTCACTTGCAAGCAATATCAATGGATGCTTAAATTCTGCTTTTGATTGGCCATCTGCTGCAATTAGGGCCTAATGAAGCATAATGGAAATATGAAACATTAAAAATCATGCTCTATTTTTTGCCAAATGTATTTGATAGTGGGACACAGGATGATTTAACTCACATGCTTATATGCAACTTGAATGGATCTGACAACGAGTATGTGAATCAATGTAGATTCTGCTGAACTGCCAGGCGGGGTCCCAATGAGCTGAAATAAATCCAAAATATATCAAAGCATTGCACTGTGGACCCTGAAAGCAACTTATGAGGCAAATTTGAGTGTCTTAATGGAACCAAAATTTATTAATAAGGCCTTGATTGGATGGAAAGGATCCCAGGTCATTCAAACAAGGCCTAATAAGGGGAACAAGAGAAGGTTAGCATCCAACACAAAAGACAAACTAACTGATGAGCCAAAACACTCCAAGTGACTTTACATGACAAGAGGGATCAAACTGACCAAAAGGGAGCACTCATGTCCGTGTTTTATTAAGACTGCCAAAAGAATTTGATGGAAGTATTATGAAAAATATCAATTCAGGCCTTCAGGATGATGATCTGTAGCTTATCTTAACTCCTTACAACATTGATTACATTAGCAACCATGGTACAAACATGACTAGTGAACAATCTGATCCAAGTGAAACTTTTTTTGTTTCTTATATCTTCTCACATTCTGTAGGTCATGACTAAAGTCTAGAAGTAGGACATACAAAGCAAAATGTGTGATTTACCACATAACATTTTTAAGGAATTTTTTTTATGAGGAACGTTCATGTACGGCCAGCCAGCAAATATCTCCTAGTTTGAGCAAGTTGTAAACGCCTCTTTTCTGAGAATTTCCCTGCTGAATGGAGTTTAGTGTCAATTATCATGACTATGTCAGGCCTTGCAGGGTATATATAACTTTGATAGTTTGGAATTAAATATGTTACATCAATATTCAGAGATTATCTCTACTTATGTCAAACTAACACAAGAATATTTTTATTTAACCAGAATGGGTAAGGCACTGTAAGGGCAGGATGCATCGGATATACACTCGAGGAACTAGGTATCGATTTAATTAAGAAAAAAGAGGCACGCCAATTCAGTTGGAGAGGACTCAGTCCTGGCCCACTCCCCTGCCCAATTGAGCTAGGCTCCATTCCAGGTAAACGAGGGTGCATATATAGAAGTACTATAGTAGAACTAAAAAAAATCTAACCATGGATTCCTCGTCATCATCATTAAGATTTGCCGCTGAAAGTAACACCAAGTTCAGCATGCTCTCGAAGATTGAACAGTTAGCCTGTACCAGAAAGGCAAGATTAAGAAGCTCTTATGGCAAACTTTGTCGCAGCATTATGCCAGTTTTGCGGATTGGTTTCTGGTAATATAAATCGGAAGGACCAACCCCTTTTTTCCCTATATAAAAGAACTTTTAGACAAAACAAATGTAAATCGGACTAAATCATTGTTGAAACTGATTAAGTTGAAGGCCATGACTCATGAGACAAATAATAATGGATGACTAACCTGCATCTGCAACTGTCTTAAGTGTTTTGAATTTATGTTTTTTCTCGAATATGCATTTGTCTAGGAGAGAAAATGTCAAGGTGACACAAAGTACAGGCAAAGGCCGAAAAGAGTAGAAATCTAGAAAAACTAACCAAAAGCCTAACTAAACAAAAACCTGCAGAGACACAGAAAACAGCCTACAGAAGAATTAAAGCGGAGAAATAGAAAACTTATGCTTATTCAGTAATAAAAGAATTGGCGGGCCATGGTTATAATTCAACAAAGTATACTTCCATCATCTGCTTGGCCTATGATAAATTTCTAACATGGACATGGATATAAACATTTGTCAAATCATAGGTCACAAGACAGTCAGGTTAACTTCAGTACCAGCCTGAACCTAAGAGTTCATCTAAGAAGTAATATAGATGACCTAGGCTATAAGCATCTATGCATCCTTCATGCATTACAGAACAATTACTAAATGATATAACTTGTGTTAATAGGTTTGGTAGAACATGAAGGCACATCTACCTATAAGTTGATGGCCTGATGGATTAAAAAAATCCTCAGCTGAAATATTTAAAGATCCAAACAGGGGAGGTAACAAACCTGACTGAAGTATAAGTGATAATTCTTCAGTTGTCTGCGACACCACATGTTTATTTTAAGAAGGGCACTGTCCACCAAATTTAGAGCGCCGTTGCTTCCAAATCCTTCCACAGAACAAACAAAGCTATCCATATACAGCTCTGCTTCTCTAACATTATTATGTAACTGAAGTTTCTGTATCTGAAGATCTGTCTGTTTCAGTAGAAGAATTTCCCTAGTTTGAGCAAACTGAAAAAAAGGAAATTAACCATACAAATCAGTATGGCATCACTGGCATGGTACTAGCACTAACAAAATGCTCTTGCCAAGAAAAACATTTTTGAAGAATGGAAGAAGGAAGCTTTCCATGTAAGAAGTGAGCTAAGCAGAATAAAATCGAATTAGTTTATCATTCACAAGACAATCGGTCTGTACCAGTTGTTCAAAAACAAGTCTGAAAATGTTTCTCAATTCTAAGTTGCTAAGTTCACCAAACAATATATGTCAATGCCACTCAACATGTTGGTAAATAACAGATCAGCAAATCCTTGCTGCCCTTCAAAATAATATACAATTAGGTGCTTCTAAAGCAATGGAAATGAAGAGAACCTAATGGAGAACCTATATATTCACAATGCAGTCATTTTGAAAAATGACAGAAGGTAATATCCCAAATGTCTACTACTCCCTCCGTTCCTAAACATAAGACCTTTTAGAGATTTCAATATGGACTACGTACGGAGCAAAATGAGTGAATCTACACTCTAAAATATGTCTATATACATCCGTATGTAGTTCGTATTGGAATATCTAAAAGGGCTTATATTGAGAAACGGAGGGAGTACTATAAACATAACAGTTGGTGGCGCTGGCCCGTCTGCCGCTCCCTTTGCTCTGACAAGTGGGACCCTTGCAATTTTCTAAACTACCCCTGAAGTTGAGTTGTTTTTGCCCACAAGAACCACCCAATCATGTGGCTTAACCCGGATTTAGGTCCACAACTGTTTTCTAGTACTATATTATCAGCCAAATTTGGACCAGCATGTGTAGTCTATGCAATATATTGTCCATGGCAAAAGTGAGTTCACTGTTTCAAATATGCCTGTCATTTTTCTGGTAGTGATTTCAATACGCAAATAAAAATATACTGTTAATATTCCTTCTATCTGTTTGTGACAAATGGATCTTCTGCAACTCCAAATCTAACAGTATGCATGATTATAATGCCACAGTAACATGACGCAGTAACGGACGAACAACTTGCTACTAGTATAAAAGAAATGCCTATTATTCAACACGGAACTCTGGCTAAAGTTCAGTTTTCAGCATTGGACTCTAAAACTGTTTTGAGTTGCAAACATAATCTGCTCGAACATACTTTTCACCCTCAGATGGTTCTGCGGGTGGTTTTAACTGACATGGATGCCATGTGTCCACCACCTCACTGCCATGAACAAACAAATACTACAATGAGGCACAATCTAAAACAAGCCCCGCCATTTTGATTTAAAAAATCACAATAAATGCTAGAGATGGAAGAAAAATTGGTAGGAACAGATGAATACATGGAACTTGGTGTAGCAATGATGTGTGGACACATGTCATCCACGTCACCCAAAACCACTTGTGAAACTACCAGAGTGTGAAAAAGCATGGTTTCTGTTAAGAGTTATATTATATTGCATGTATAGCCTGCATATTCTCCCCGTTGTATGAGGGGTTTTCTGCATATTTCCCACCTGTACATGCATATATATATTGGCCATTGGCCCTCAGGAAATACAAGTTGCATATTTCCTAACTTGGTATTAGAGCCCTAGGGTTTTTTTTTAGGCACGCGCAGCTCGTGCTTGATCCTCTCTCGTGCCGCCGGTTTCTGTTCTTGCCGGCTACGCTGCTGCCTACCGCTGCTGTACCTCCCATCCACCCACAGGTCAACGCCCCAATCCCACAGGCCAAGTCCCCTAGGTCGAAGGCATGCGTCGCCCGCCTGCTGAAGCACTCGCCTGCAGGTCCTGGCCCTGGAGCTCGCTGCCGTCCTGGTCAACTCTGCCCTGCCGGATCCATCCAGCTTCAGGCCTATTTGCTACGTGGGGTAGTAATCCCTCGGATCGCCGTTCACTTTCTACTTACTGTGTTTTTCTTGGTGGTTCTCTCATTGCCTGGAAGACAAAGAAACAGACTGCAGTTTCCTGTTCGAGCGCAGAGGCTGAGTTGCAGTCTATGGCTTTGTTGACGGCAGAGGTGTCTTGGTCATGATGGTTACTTCAGGAGTTTGGTGTTTCTGTCCTACTCCCCTCTTGTCAGACAGTATAAGTATTATCAGTATAGCACGTCGCCCTGTGAAGCATGAGCTCACCAAGTGCTTCTATTGTGCGCGCTGGTGTGCAGGATCGGGTTATTGCTCTTC